TCCCTGCCTCTCCCTGCCTCTCCCTGCCTCTCCCTGCCTCTCCCTGCTCACTGGAGACAGCCCCCTTTGTCTCTGTAAAGGCTGATGAAACACACCATCAGTGCTGATGAAACACGTGTTCGGTGGCTCATTTATGCAGCAACCACACTAAGAATAGTAAAGAACCCACGGTAATACATCAGCTCCAATCAGGAAGGAGCAGCCAAGAGTGCTTGGTACTGCGCCAGCAAGGAAGTTAGTATGACGGAAGTCTGGGGTCTGGCTAAGGAAGCTAGTATGACGGAAGTCTGGGGTCTGGCTAAGGAAGTTAGTATGACGGAAGTCTGGGGTCTGGCTTGAGGCATTTGGGCTACTTTTGTAGCTCTGTCTTTCAGACAGTGGGTTTGCGAGGCTCTGAGCATAGAAGAAGTAACTCAGTAGATTTTCCCAGATGGTGAAGACAGCCTGTTTGCCCCCTACTTAGTTCGGTGAACAATTTGGAGTGGGTCCCCGGAAGTACTGTATAGAACTGGCAACTGTTACAATGAGTTGTAGCAACAAATTGAAAATATACTAAAGTTTAAACATAATGAACATTGGTTTCTCAGTCACACAAAGTCCCCAATGGAGGTTTCTGATGGATAGCCTACCTCTAAGACAAGAGAGCAGTATATAGACCCTCACATCTCGTGTTCAACTGTCTTCATTAGGTGGCTTCCCAAAGGCCCTTATGAAAAGGATTGAAGCATCACATTTGAAAGGAAGGTTTATATGAGCCAGGTATTGAAGTGGTTCCCACTACTTTTATTCCCAGTTGATTGACTAGCATTCAGACATGACCAGCACTAAGTGCAAGGTAGACGGGAAACTGTAGTCCAGGAATAAGGGGAGATAAATGACAGCGAGTCAGTCAACCCTAGATGAAATGTTCTTGGACGGGCTGGCAATGAGCTTCTGCTTGGGAAGCAGGCTAGTTCTGAGGCATAGTCAGCTTTCCATTACTGCCACATATATCGGAGACAATCATCTTATTAAAAAGATGGTTTATTTTGGCACTCAACTTTGGAAGCTTCAAGAGACAACATGGTTGATTGTTCCTGTTACTTTGTTGCCTATGGCTAAGTAGCACATTGGGGCATGGAGCTCACAGAGAGGCAAAATACATCCATCACAAAGTCTGTAAGTGAAGAAGAGGGAAAGAGGAGGTCCTGACATCCCATTATTCCCTTCAGTAACATATTTCCAATTGTCTTAAGAGCTTCTATAAAGCCTCACTTCTTAAAGTTTTCCCTGGGCCAAAGATTAAGCTTTTAACACTTGGACCTCTGAGGTACATGTATCCTAACTATGTTACATAGGACACAAGAATTGAGCTCTAAAACGGTAAGGGACAGCGGATTCAGGCTGTATTCTTTCGGGCACAGTAAACACTAGTGACAGTGATGGGAGAGAAGGGAACTAAGGCAGAGGTTGGCCAGGAAACAAAAGCTAGTCCTGTCCAAGGTTCAGAATTAGGCCAAGCAATTATGAGTTCTAAAGCGGGAGCCATTACCTCCTCTCCCTGCCCCCATGCAGGCTCCTAAGAATCTCTGCTCTGCTAACCTCCCACCTTCCTTCCCTGCAGTGAGTGTTGTTCATGCTCTGGAAAGCTTTGTCCCTCTCTCCCATCAAAACAACCATTTCCTGGGGATTCCCAGGGCTGGAAGGAGGTAGGAAACAATAATTCAACAAATCAAATCCCACCAAGGTGGTACCAATCTGCCGGGGTTGCTGAGAAACAGATGAGAAAATGAATGTAGAGTAGCTTGCAGGGTGCCGGCACCTGCTATGTCAGAGTTCTCAGTAAACAGTTTATCATTCTCTTCCCGTGGATGTGGGAACAAGAGGCTGGAAAGAAGCAGGTATTGAGGAGCTAGCCAAGTCCTGGGAGCAAAATTGTTTCCTCCCGTCCTTCCCACCTAAAGGTCTCACTATTGAACTGAGGCCTTGTACTCATTGAAAATTGTATTGGTTGAGTTGGCGATCCTTTTGGGCACGAGGTTCATTGCTTAGGATGACTCTGAAAATCCCTGGAAGAGCTGGACATCTGTCTAATGTTCCAAGCATCTTTGTCTCTTTTCCAAGCAATTACTAGTCTTGGGCTCCAGCTGCCCCGCTAGCTGGGCCATGCTGGACACACCTGTCCTCTTATGCCCTTCCTCCAGTCCTGTATTTGTTGTAGAAAACCCTCCTCCATTCTCCTATTTCCTCTGCTGAAATGCTGAGTGAGTGGCAAGATTCAGTGCATATTACCTGTGCCATAAAGGTTACATGATGGGAAAACACTGTGAATGGAACAGATGAGAAAGAAGGAGTGGACATAGCTCTTGATTTGAGCATCACCCTTGTTTCATTCCTACTTGATCACACACAGTGTGTGTGTGTGTGTGTGTGTGTGTGTGTGTGTGTGCATGCGTGTGTGTGCATGTGTGTGTAAGTGATCACGTGCATTCAGAAGGAACTCTTTGCCTAAGTAGGAACTAATGCCTATACTCTCCATTGCCAGCTAACCAGATGTTCTAGAGCTGATCTTTTACCTTCCCCACCCAAACTCTGTTGTTTAATGCTACGTTAGCTTAAACCATGATTCTTGCTTTAAAATAAATACAATGAAATTTTTAGTGACTTGAAACAACTCAATATTCATAAGATTCGGCCAAGTGTATTGTTCTTAAGAGAGTTGCCCCCAGGCAGAGGGATGCTTCTGAGAAAACAGAATTCCAGAAGGAAATCACACTGTTTAAAAGATAAGCTCTCCTCACCCCATTCACGCATTGTCTGCATACTTTTCAGAGCAAGGTTGCCATCGTTATCATCATCCTGAGCATCAGGCAGTACGCACTAGGAGGTGAAGTGGTGTTTATTTAATTTTGGTCCCTGAGTTGGAACACAGAATTACTAGAGGAGAGACTGCCTATGTTATTTATCCCAGGGACATCTTGCATTTCAGTTGACACGAATAGTATTAGAAGGACTTTCTGAAGGGCTCCAGATACATTTCACCAAAGGAACATATCAACTAAACTGACCGTCTCTTCAAAAATTTGCTTTTGATAGCTAGTCCTCTCTGGCCTCTGTGGGAACCTTGCTTTTTTACAAAATCTGGAGTCACATTTCTCATGAGCTGATTCATTTGAGGCCTGGGCATTGTTATTAAGGCATGATGTCTTCTTCACATTAGGCAGAAAAGGTTCTGCCTATTGGGGAAACACATGACCCTGCATAGTGGCCTAAATTAGTGATGTTATGATCACATAATAATCACTGACATTTTTAGGGTATGGTTGGCGTAGGAGATAATGTTGGTATCCTGTCATGTCTCCTCACATTTACCTCTTACTAGAGGCTGCTTACTTCAAACACCTATGACTCTCCCTAAAGGTTTATTTTTTTAGGTTTGGTCTCTGGAGTACACTAGGCCTGGCCTGCATGCTGGTTAGTTCGAAGTGTCAATGAATGAACACATCTTCCACTTGCCCTTGACCAGTGATGGTTGGAATCCTAGCCCCTCCGTTGACGTAGCTCTGGAGAACGTGTTCTTCACTATTTCTTGCTGTTCCCTAGTGGAACTGAGCTCCGGTTGTTTAAGTTGGTAAGTTGCTTAATAAGTTTTCTTTTTTTTTCCCTTTCCGGGCTCTCTGCTTCATTTCTTCTCTGGTCTTTTCTGCCCCTCCCCCCAGTACACTATTTTCCATCAATTCTTTGTCTTAAGATCTTTCTAGGTGGGAAATCCAAGATAACTTGCCAGCCGGGCTCACTCAAAACCAGCAGCTCTCCCTGCAATCTTTCTCACCATGCTCATCACCAGTGGCAATGACCATTGAGTTCCATTGTGGCAGTAGCCTTATATGTTATATATGAGATACAGTCCTGTACTTCCTTCATGGTAAGGCAGGAACCAGAATATCGGGAGGCAATCAGTCCAGTAACCCAGTCCCATGAAGAAAAAACAGTCTGGATATTGCCAACATCTCCACTCTGGAAAGCACAAAATTACCAATTTCCTTTTGGATGAGAAATAAATGTTTGCTTATTGAGTCTCTAAAGATATGACTAACTTTCTCACTTTCATAAGTTTCCTTAACTTTGAGTGTCTAAAAGTGGTGGCCATGCTACACTCAGGTACCCTTTAAAAACTGCCAGCTACCCGATCATTTCTTGTAAGGTCTTGTCTCTATGGAAAGATATCAAGATAGACGGAAGGTTCTTCCTGATTAGTGTCTTGAAGTTTCTCAATTAGAATGCCATTTCTTTTTCCATGGCTGTATCATTCCCGGTTACTTTTATTCTATCTGTCAGGGAAACATAATACTCACGCTTTAGCACTCATATACCTACCTAATCAAGACAGTCAAATATTGCACTGGAAATTAGTTTAGCAGCTTCTTTCTAGAAAATCAAATTTTGATGGGGGGAAAACTCAATTCTGACTGCCCAAGGTGAAGCAGGAAGTGCCAGATCTAAGAATAAATGCAAGTAAAGACCAGACACAGTGAGAAGGCCCACATATGTAGTTTTTCCTAGGACTGGGAACACAGAAAGTCAGGAGTGAGTGTGCTTGGTCATTTTAAAAGCAGAGAGAAGTCCTGCCAAAATGAGGACCATCTTTCTTATGCTCTTGTGGTACTTGTTCTTGTAAAGTGTACCCCAAAACTCCAGTCTCCCTTATGTCCCCTCCCAGCACACCCGGAAACAGCTAAGCTGCTGCAGTCTTTGCACCTTAACACTGCCCCCTTGTGGACAAATGAAGAACGTTCATTCTGTGTTTCATTCCCTCATGGCTCCCCTAGAGATGTTCTAACACTTAGGCCGAGCAAGCTCTTTCTTGCTTAGGCATACATACTTTGGGACGTTCTCTCCTTTTACTCTGGCCTAGTTGTCACAGGATCCCTCTTTGCTTCCTGTTTCCCTCTTATCCCTTCTTCCTTTATCTTCCTGCTCTCCAGGAATCCCTTGTTTTTGAGTGAGAAGATGACCCTATTACCATTGGTGAGTGGGGAGAGAAAGCTACCTCGTGCAAAGAAGGAAAACTGAAGGATTCTAAGTGAAACTATGCATAGCTAAGTGGCAAGAACTTCAAAATCCTTGAAAGTGCTCATGAATCCACATATACAAGATATATAAAGTTTTGCTCTTGTTCTTTCTCCTCTAGTCTTCCTGTCAAATGAGAAATAGGGTTTTTCATATTTCTTACATCTTTTCCTACCATCTTGGATTTCTGATACTGTGATAGCACTGTTGTCTCTTTTCACGGGGAGTGTTTGATAGTCTAGTAAAACTGGAGTTGAGTGAGCGAGGGGATTTGCCTGGAAACCTCACTGTCTGGTACAATGCTCAGTTAGGACCTTCCCAGTTTCTAGCAGCCGATTTTCAAGTGGATCTTTGACGAAACGGGGTTACAAATGAGCAAACCTGCGCAGATGCCAGTGAACCTTTGATGGTGCTACTTGAGACGCTTGGGGAAAATGTGCACAGTGGGGTCCAATGAGGAAGAAAGACAAGGACGCCACGACAAGGTGACATCCAAGATGACGGCAGCTGCAACGATGATAGCAGTAACAATGAGAAGGACAACTAAGAAGACAGTGGCAGGTGCAGTGACAACTGTGGTGGAGATAAAGGTGGTGACGCTAGCAAGTGGTGATGGAGCCCAGGGGACAGCGCTGACGGTCTTGATAAGCATTCCATGTGCCAGGCGCTATAGCCAGGACTTTACTTAAGAGAGCTCTCTTCACATTACAACCATCCCACATGAGAGGCCTTTAGTTTTCAGTCTTCCGGAGAGGGAAACTGAGGCTTGGAACTAACTTCCCCAAGGCTTTCCAACCGGCAGTTAGTAAAAGTTGAAGTCTGAGCCTAGGCCTCAGTTCAAAGATTTTCTTCCTTATCATTCTCAGGAGGACACAGTGCCCAGAATGACCTGGCACCATTGCTACACCAGTGGTTGATGAGGGGCTCACAGGCCTTTAGAAAAGGGAAAACACTGAACCCAAGTTCTCTGTACTCTAGAATTCTACAACTCCTTCCTTCTAGTGACCCCTCAGAGGGTCTATTTCTGGCATAGTGGTTTCTGGAAAATGTCCTTCTAATGACATAAGATTATAAACAATCTTTTTTCCCAGAACAAAAATTTAACCTTTGTATCTCAATCTAATTAGAAGTATTTTCTCTTTCAGAAGGCAGGTTTTTCCCCCTCTTCATTCCAAATTTAAGAGGTTTCTTTGTTGCCAGAAAAAAAAATCCCTCACACCATAGCTCTTCAAGATAATAGACCAGGCTTGAGCCCTTAAACGTGACTTGTGCTTTTGTGCCAACTGTCCTTCTAGCTCTGGCACCTGAGAATGTTTGGAGGCTGGGTGTCTGGTGGGAAGTTGTAGAGGCTCAGCTGAAGGCAGGGATTAGCAGCTGGTAGCTCACACAGTTCACTGTCTGTTTAAGTATGCCCTACCACCTCAACAGTTCCTCGTGATCGTATCTTGTGATGCTGGGGCATTCTTCTAACCTTCTGTGGAAACTCATCAAAATGTGAGGAGAACATGTCTTTCCTCCTAATGTCAGAATCGGCCCTCTATAGAAAATAAACACTGCCCTCTACCTAGAGTAAGTGTTTGTCCTTACATCACACACACACACACACACCCACAGCTGTCTAGGAACTGGTATTCCCTTGTAGAAATGTATTCCTTTATCCCCCCATAGGAAATATGGGCCTGGAAAAAGCAATGAAGGAAGCAGACAACCTTGGGAAAGTGTGGATTTGGTTTCTGTCTTGAGAACTAAGTCAATAAAAAAGGTGATATCTCTTTAGAGAAAATAGAATAGGAAATGCAGGTCTAGACCACAGTGGGTCCCCGGATAATTTTTGAAAGGATGGATAAATTAATGAACACAAATCTGGTTCCCTACTCCTGCCTTATGCTAGGGCCTGCAATGATCTCAAAGGCTATTGTTAATCCTTAGGAGGCAGGCTAAAGACTGTTAGGACAGTAAATGAGAAAATAAATGGAGAGCCTTGTGGCATTGTTTACCAGAAAGAGAAAGGAGGTAGAATGACCCACCTAGCCAGGCTCCCAGATTTCTCTTAGACTCTTCTAGAGTCCAACAAAGACTTGGAATATCAGGCCTGAGAACTGGGGCTTCCCTCTCTTCAATTCTGCTTGGCTCACATGTTCCTCAGTGTCCTTTAGCATTTGAAACAAAGACAATGGGTCAGATAACGTGCATTGGTGGAAGAAACACAGTTTTGAGGCCCAGTGTTCACTGTGCTGTGTGAACTTGAACAAGCCACTTGACCTCTGGGTGTCAGCTTCCTGCTCTGTAAAACAGGAAGGATGGATTGGGCTAGTGACCAGTCTAAACTTCTTTAGACAGAAGAGCCCTAGAAATCTAACTGGGCTCTGCCTGGGAGATTTCTCTCTCTTGCTGAGTGGCAGCATTTCATTCTTATGCTCCCATAGGGAAAACTGTACCCATGTACACAGAGACACATAAACACCGTGTGTGTTCTTATGTTTTTGTATTAACATTGCTACAGAAATACAATGAGAATGAAAAGTATGAGATGATAAACTGAACATATATGACTTTTGAAGCACCCTGGGGCATGCATTTTTCTTTTTCTCCAGGACGATCTTCAAACTGTTGATGTCAATGGCCAGTTAATGACACTGGATCGGTGCTCTCCATAGTTTTTAAACCAGTTTAGGAGCAGGTCTAATAATTGTATTCACTTTCTGACAGAACTTTCCACAGTCAATGCCTGTCTTCACTAAGGTTGGTCTCAGTTGAAATCTGTCTGACCACCATCGCTTTAATAACATCAGTAGTGGTTCTGGTAACTCATTTCCAAAGTTACTTTGGATCATCACATTCCTTTTGGAGGACTGTGTGAGTCTCTGCACATAAAATAGAGCCAAATGTAAGGTGGGTGACTACTTTGTGTTATTTTTCATATTGTAACCAATTTAGGAATGCATTCAAGTAATAATTATGTTCAGAGCTTTGTTAAAATAAAAGAGCTTTGTGCGATGTTTAAAGCTCAGAAAATTCAATCACGGGAGTAAGTAATTGACAATTACTACACCCTGTGGGGAGAGAAAACCCATTTTTGAACCCAGTTGGAGTTGCTTCCTAGATAGTGCACCCTGGGTCCTAAATGGTGAAACCATATGTGTATACGGGATTAAAGGACAAAAATACGCTGGTCAGTAGTTAATGGCTAGTGATTTTTTTTTATACAGAATTGGTTAATTTACTGAGGGTATTATGTAGGTCCTAGTCAAAAGTGGAAATAGAATAAGAATGGGAATTGAATGGAAGGGAGCAGGATTTTCTCAGAGGTCCCTAGCAAACCACCCTTGCAAGAGGGAGAAACTTCTCACCTCTTATGAGCTTAGGGTACATAAAGAGACAATGTGAGGGCCAGAGGGAGGTTGAGAGGGTTTGGGGTGCTAATGGTTTCTGTGTTTTCTGTGACTTAGAAAGGAAGATCAGTCACTATGAAAGCCAGATCACTAGCTATCCTGTGCTCTAGCTGTAGGTTGAGGACCAATCCTGATTGCACATTAGAATCCCTGTGCAATTATGTATTCC